CAGTCGGACACAATACACACACACAAGTTAACAGAGCAAGTCTGAGCAGGCAGAGTTACTCAGCATTTCCAGGCTGACACCCTTATGTGCCCCGAACTCAGCACAGGAACAAAGTACGTCTGAGCCGGGCCAGGTCAATCAGCATTAACAGGCCCCAGCTTCATATGCCCCGGCTCAATGCTTCCCAATCTCTTGTCCCAACTGTCCTGGTAGTAACTCCTTTGAGCAAATGCCACAGGATTTTTGGGCTTTACAGGGATCTTTGGCCTAGGTAAAAGATCTTTGGCTGCAGAGCAAATGGGGAGGTTGAGGAGAAGGAAGAGTAAATGAGGTTGAGGGAGTATGGCAACCAGCTTGACCATGAAAATTATTTTATTGCCAGGTATATGAAACTTACAATGTCACTAGTATTACTAGCCATACAAGGAGAGACAAATAAAGCAGTTACAATATTACAGAGTTTCAAGTGAGTATTTGGGGAAGTCTAGCTCAAGTTTGATCAGCAAAAGTCAGGTTTAGAAAGCTGTGCCTGGAGTGAGAGAGAGAGAGAGAGAGAGAGATTAAACCAAATCTGAGGTTTAGAAAGTGGGCTTAAACAGAAAGAGAGAGAGACAGAGAGAGAGACAGAGAGTCGGGGTTTCAGCACTCAGCAAAGCTTGAATTGGTTCAGATTCCCAAGTGTTTGTTGGAGCTTGCAGACAGGCAGAGGCCTCAGCACAATTAGTGTCGGTGTTCCAGGCAGGGAAGTGGAACTGGTGCAGTGTTTGGATCAAAGCACCAGAACAGAAACTTGAGCTTGGGTAGGGGTGTTTGTAGGGAACTAACAATGGCTCAAGAGCAAACACTTGGTTTGTTTATGGGTAAACGATGGCTCCTGTTGGATAATAGGAACTGATTACACCTGGCTATGGGTGGCATTACTCTGAGGGAACTCACAATGCAGACAGGCAGATTCAGTGTTTTGGGTACCAATAAAGGAGTCATTACTAGAATTGGTCTGATAAATGCTGAGCTGGGTGTGTGCAGATGTGGGTTAATTAGCATTTGGAGCAGGGATCCCCCATTATGCAGTGCACCCCTGCTTCTCGGGACCCAGAGTTCAGTGCGGTCCATGCCTTGGAATCTCTGTTCTCCATTCTGAATGCTAATGGAGGTGCCTCCCTTTCTGATCTCTGATGCAAGTGAGACTGGGAAGTTGCCTCAATCCTTATATGTTGGGATTTAGGTGTCTCTCTCACTGCATCTTCATTGCCTTTTGTAAGTCCTTCTTCTTATCAGTTCTGGTTCAGGCAGAGGTGGGAGAATGGAGCGGGGGGCAGGGAGTCCTTTGTGAGTCAGACAGGCTGGGTACTGTTCCAAGGTTCCCCAGGAACACAGACCTGACAGGTAACATTAAGATATTACTCCCTTGATTTAGTATGCAGGGCTGATATATCTTTGGTAGGGCAACATTTTGTTACTATTTAATTAAGTTTCCATGCTTCTTCTCCCTTGTTTCAGGGTACTGCTTGTCAGATGATAAAAGAGTGGCAATGTGTTGAGTCCACTCAGAAAAGCTCTGGTTATTCACCTATATCTGGAATTCTTGAAGATGGACTCTACACATTTATATTTCCTGCCCCATTTCCTCTTCTTTCGACTCCTTATAGTGTCAGACTTCAAGAGAGTGTGGAAGGAAAGAAGTTGCTAGAACATCATATCATCATATCCATTTTAAAATCTTGCCATCAAAATATTGATTAATAATGAAGGAATGGCAATATTTTCATTTGACTGACTTTTGTGCATTACATAACATAAAAGCGAAATGCTACTTTACCTCTATGTGCCTAAGAGGCACGTATCTAGATATAAACCAGCAACTCTTGGCACTTGCATGCAGGTTGGATTCTGTTTCCATCTATGGTGGAATAGGATTGCCCTACATGTGTACTTGGTAGAACGGATATGAAGGAAGAGGGGGACCCTCCTGCCTTTTAGTCTAATAGTCTAGTAGCTGAGGTGCTTGCCCTAGGAACAGGAGACTCAGATTTTAGCTTCCCCTCACCCAGAGGGGTTTTAAATATGTATCTCTGGTTTCTGGAAAAAAGTGCTCTATCAGGCCATGGGATAGGCATTGTCCAGTATATGAGAGTTGAAGCTGGTTCATTGCACCTTGACACAATGAGTAAATGACAGTAAAATAGTTTTTTTTTCCCTTTGGGGATACTAGTTAGGGCCTCAGTCCAAGTCTCTGTGCTTTCCAGAGTAGTATCTGTCTCACTGAACTGCTGCTTTCCTCCTCTTGGCCCCATATATCTTCTTTTCTGGGATGACCAGTGTGCCAGCTTCAAGAGGAAAATTGGTAAGTGAGCTTGGTAAAGTCTAGACCATAGCCTAGTGATTAGAATGCTTTTCTAGGAAGCCAGGCACAAGTTCAAATCCCTTCTAGGCGATGGGAGCCTAGAACTGGGGTCTCTTGCTCCTTAGGTAAGTGTTCTGGTGTCTAGACTATTGGGCTAAAAAGTACTAGGACTATCTTCCTTCTCCAGTGTCAAACATTAATTGCAAATTTTCTGTGACTAAAGTTTTAGAACTTACCCAGCATTATTAACAGGCCTAGATACCTATGCAACAAGAGTATAGTTCACTGAGCATGCTCATAGGCAAAATGCAGGGCAAGCATAGCTATGTGGAATCCAGACTATGTGTAGGTATCAAATATGCAGTTAAGTGGCTATTTAAATTTTGTTAAGATTGTGCAAAGATGAAATAGGATTCTTCCCTAATATCATCCCCATTCATCCCTAATATCTACAGCAGGGCAGAATGTCTTCAACTGTGCATTTTACCCCCCTCTCCTGCTTACATGCTCCAAATGCACAAGAAATACACTTTGAAAATGCTCTGCAATCATCCTCAGCAACTATTGTGAAACATGCTGGAGACTTTCTGGGTTTAGAATACATGATAGGGAGTGGGTGGGCAGGACATGCTCAAGGCTATCTTGGCTACGGCACACCATTGCCATGGTGTACACATTCCTGTACAGCACAGTAATTTCAGTTACTGTGCAGTAAATGCACATGTGTAGATGTCCCTACTGTGTGTGTGTGTAGTGTGGTGTGTGAGTGCATGTGCATGCAGGTATGTGTTCACCACATGTGTGTGTATAATATCTATATATTCTATATATGCACGTGCACACACACAGAGTAGAACTCAGTTTTGGGTTTTTTTGTACACTGGTGTTTTGTAACCCACTTATTTCATAGCAAGTAGCCAGATTAAGAAGGAACAGTTTAGCTGCATGCTGTAGCTGTATATACCCCTGGCTAAGTCATGAACCCTCATTTTTCTTGGGGGGGTTATGAAGTTTGTTTGCATGCATGTGCCTATACACATGCACACACACTAATGATACATGATATATTGTTAACCTAAGGTTTCCTTGGCCTTGCTTTGAAGGTATTTGGCTTGTTCTCACATGACTTTTTCCAGCTTCCATTAAAGTGAATAGAAAAATGTTCTTTGACTCTAGTGGGAGGTAAAGCATGACAAAAAAAGCAAAAGTTGATATTCAGATAACAATAATAATTTATCATTTCATATTTGCTATTTTTTATTTACAGTAGCAGGGAAGCATGTGGCATTTGGGGGTAATGAAGATGAAGAAGAAACTGATGACTCTTTACCTATTCTTAGTGAGGAGAGTGAAGATAATGAGAAAGAAGATGAGTTTAAAAAGGTGCTTTATTATACAAAGAGCATACAAATTTAGGATTTATCAAAACTCAGATATCTTTAGTTAAGTGAATATAAAAATAATCGTACAACTTCTGACTGTAAATTGTAAGGTTAACTTTCAAAGGTTAGTGTCACAGCACAGGGTCCTGCAGGAGGGCTGTGATCTCCTCAAGGCCCCCTTCCTGTGCCAAGTTGGCCCAAGGGCACCCTCAGATTCTCGACTGCCACGTCTTTGGTGTTCCAATATATTAGGGAGGCTGCCTTACGTCCTCTTGGATACAGTTTGCTGTAACATCTGACCCCGTGGACTTCCGGACCCCTTGTGGGTTCTGTTCTGCAAATGGGTGCTTCAGGGCACCTTAGCCTTATGGGCTATGCATGGCTCCAACCATCCCTGTACCACGCCCCAAGCCTCGCAGCTGGAATAGACGTTGTTTGGTCCAGGTCTACACTCTCTCTCTGGGGCCTTCTCAGTAATGCCGCCCCCTTCCCTGGGGCTCACCATGCCTGCACTGGGGCTTCTCAGCAACACCCCCTTTCTGGGGCTTCTCAACTGCCCCTCTCTGGGGCTGGGGCCAGTGCACTCCGAATGCTGCGCCCTCGCTGGCACTGGGGTTCTCACACTACTGTGGGTCCCCTATGAGGCCTCCTCCTACCCCTATTAGCCTCACCCAAACCACCGGTGACAAACAGTAACACAAACGCAAGCCCCTTGGCTATAACATAAACTGAAGCCACGCGGCTATAACCACGTTCAAGCCTACCAGGAAATACTCCATCCCTCAGCCATGTCAGACACTGTTCCTTCAGTTAGGCTACTCCTCCCTTCCATGAGACAGCTCCTTCCCCCTTGGCTGCTGGCAGGGAACTGCCTCTGGCCTCAGCCCCTAGGGTTTATAAGGGAGCCAGGCCCTGCCCCTTTCAGTTAGCTGACCGCTGGCAGGTGTGATCTCTTGCTAGCTCCAGTTGCCCTGGCAACCAACAGCTGGGCTCCTTATTCCCTGCTAGGGCTCTTCCCTAGTTTCCCTAGCAGTTTCCCCTCTTTAGGAGCAGGGCACCTCAGTGCTCTGCGTCAGTTAGCTTTCAAAGATTATATGCCATGTTATAGTTTGGCATTCATTAACTAAAGTATTAGTAAATAAGGGAGCAGGGAAAGGTTGCCTGAGCAACAGGTCAGCGTGCTGTGCACAGGCTGTTATTCTAATGTAGGTGAATACTCATCTTTATCCTTCCCCACACTTAGTTGGATTCAGGAAATCCACTCCCATATTTTCAGCAGACAGAACAAGAAAGCAGCACTCGTTGGTCTTCCATAGTAACCTACATTAAGTGTTAGTAGATTACAGCTGCAATGTGTAGGTGAGGGTTGATAATACTATTGGGATGTATTCGGGTTCAGAGAGTTAATGACTTTTGTGGGCTGAACAGTGTGCTCTCCATGTCCTCTATTAACATAGTACTGTTAGGCTGCAAACAGACATTGATTTTACGCCACCATAATTTTTATGGCAGCACAAAAGCCAAGTGAATGGAGACCATAGCCTTTTACTGTACCAAAAGTGCTTACATTTTGTGGTGGCAATGAAGCTAGTCATAGTTTGTGTCATCTTTTTGCTGCTGATATCTGTTGTACTAGTGGCAGTCTGCATTCTCCAGCCATTCCAGGAAGAAACTCCCCCAGCCTCAGAGACCTGTATCCTGAGGGAAAAGGGCCCTGGGAGCCTTACTTCGACTTGGGGTGTATGTCTGCAGCTGAGGAAACATCTCTCCACTTGTACGCAGCACCCCAACCCAGGACATGGCAGCATGATAGGCATGCCAGGGTGTGATGCACTTTTCTCATTGCTGTGGCCTAGGTCACATGTGCAAGTGGAGGGGTAATCCCAGTAGGGATTTCATCACTCTGTACTTGCAGACCCATGCCAGGGGAATGGGTCATGCTGCTACCATGTGAGTTTCCCTCTCTAAGCTTGAATTCCCTGAAGAGGGAGTCCCCCATGCCTAGTTTGCAAGCATGGAGGGAGGAATCCCTGTGGGAGTTATCTTCTTTGCACTTTGCAGACACATGCTGATGGAATCTCCTCAGCCCCAGCATAGCGACATGTCTATAAGTCAGGGCAGGGCATCCTTCTCCCTCAGGATCATGCCCTTGAAGCCCTGGGAGGGACATAGGAAGGACCCTGGGAGAAGTCTTAAGACATTGCCAGGGCTGTCATGTGTGAAGTGAATCAGTTGTGCCATGACATATCACAGTACATCTGATCACACTCCAAAGAGATTGTCTGTTTCCAGTCGTAAACTTTACTGCCTTGGCTTCTGGTTTCAGGGAAAGATTCTTTTGACTTTTTTCTCCAGAGCCATATGCCTGCTCCTCTTACTGATATCTTACATACTACAGAAACATTCAGAGCTTGCTCTTCTACCTCTGAGCAAAGCACATTGAATTTTCTTTGTGTTTTATCTGTAAGCCCTCCTTTCCATCCAGATTTTGTAGTATATTTCTCTCCTGACAGTGGCTCAATAGTAGTCTTGGTTTGGAGAGGATATTTCTGCAAGATTTCAGAGGATTTAAGGAATTCCTCAAATTAGTGCTTTTTAAATGTGAGGGCACCATAGGCAGAGGGAGAAAATATTATTTGCAAGGGCTGAGTACACACACACCACACTGCCCAGCAGGTAAGACTCTGGAAGGAAAGGGGCAGGGGAGAGAAAAGGAGTGTGGGGGTGGGGGGAGCTCAGATCAAGGCCCCCACAGTGAGGGAGGGAGTGGGACAGAGACAAAGGCAGGGGCTGCAGTGAATGGGACCCTGAGGTGGGTCATGGGATGGTTGGAGCCTGGGCAGTTCATCTGGGGGGGGCGTTGGTTCCTGCCGCTGAATGTACCATGGGTGAGGTACAGGGGGCACATGACCTCCAGATTTGTGCCCGGGGTGGAGATGGGCTGCTGCTTCGGGTTGGGCTCTGCACCCTGCTGCTGTTGCCTCAAGAGCCACATGATGCCATGTGCCTGCCACTGTCAGGCCGGGGCGCCTCCCCTGCCCACCCAC